CAAGAAGTGAAGTTAAAGAGAAGTGTTGTAAAATGGGATAAATTTTATTAGCAAGTAAATTATCACTTTCTATTCGGTGCTGCAATCACGTTAGTTTTGTGAATTTTATAGTATATAAAGAGTTGAAAGTACACCTCGGAGCTAGCCTCTCTCGAAGACTGACGATCATATACAGTATGAGCATTACTAATACGGGATAAATTCGCACGAGGAACAACCACCAAATGCACTTTTTTGAAAATATCGTGGCCAACAATAGGACTTCTGACTCTCAGATGGACCATCTTTACTTTCATATCGACATGATGATTTCGTCTTCGTCATATTTATCTTGAATGTTAGCTGACCTTAATTGCTTGATTTCTTGCAAAAGTCATTAAAAAATATATTTTAACGTTAGCCTTCAATGTCCAATCAGATACTTAAGTTTAACGTTTCGGCTTCTGGCCCTTTTGTATCACTAATTACATTGTTTCACAATGAAGCTATTTCCGCTTATTCCGCGGAATAAAGAAATTTTTACATATATGTAAGCGAAGAGGAAATGACCATCTTGGTAATATTCTCTGCCGAAGTGGAAGGCGTTTTGAATTTGTCGCTATGTCACAACTGTTATACAATAATCGGCAACAGGCCATGGGCCTATACGTATACGTAATATAATATAATATAATATAATATAATATAATATAATATAATATAAAGTAATATAATAAAATATAATATTCTTATATGGTAGCACGAAATTCAAAGGTTAACTTAAAATTTTTGTTCAGTTTTGCTCCTTTGAGATGATCACGTTTTTGAACTTATCCAGTTTTTCATCCAAGCCTGATATTTAAAGAATAAGTCGTAGTCGGTTCATTTTCAGGATTCTGTTTTGATCCAGTGATTAATGTCTTCTTAACAATTGGGGTCAATTTCTAATCTAAAAAGTCAGGATTTGAGTATTGGACGGATATTGTCCAGAGATATTTTTTCATTGTTCGCGCTCGAACAATACGTATTTTAAAACACATGTCGGTATGTTTGTAAAATTCTCTCACTAATTGTGCAGAGTTTCTCAAACAACTGAGTCTTAAACATCCTGGGGCCATACTTTCAGAACTCGCTAAATGAACGTAAGTACTTATGCTCTATTTTCTTGTCTATGATTGGTGGATTTTGCTTGAAAGGCCGACAATGATTGGCTGATGAACTTACGATCTGTTAACTTTTTTTGAAAGTATAGGCCCTGACCTGTTATTCTAGTGAACGTGATAAAAACCAGTCGTATTATGTTTTAGTGGCATAATAGAATTTGAACATCATAACTATCAGGAACAAAATGAACGAATGAAAATGGTGTTGAACAAAATAAAGATGAAACATTTACACTAAATAACATTTCAAGATAATAATGAAGTGCTATAGAATAACCTATTTCCACCCACATGCACACACGCTCGCACCATCCTCGGTCAACCAGGGCACATACTTTCAAAAATATTTAAGAGATCGTAAGTTCATCAGCCAATCATTGATGGCCTTTCAAGCAAAATCCACCAATCATAGACATGAAAATAGAGCGTAAGTACTTACGTTCACTTAGCGAGTTTTGAAAGGATGGACCCAGTCAGATGGCCAACTGATCGCAATCAGCGACTAGTCAGAACCTCCTTGCCGACTTAATAGTCGCCTGAGAGTAGGGCAAGAGTTGGCAGAATGCCCTCAGTCCCCTTACCAGGCTCTGGTAGTTGTCTGATTCGGGGGCCGGAATGTAGACCAAAAAGCGGACATAGAGAAGCTGATTTACGTTCGGTCCGAGTCCTAGGCGGTTCCTAATTCAGGCTCGCCACCAGATAAAAATTTTGATAGGGGAGGGCTATAGGGGATGAGGGCTGTGACCGCGCGTCGTTACAATATGCGTATGAGGCTCAATGAACCTCTTAGCATCAATTGAATCGAGCCTTAATTTGTTGAGTGATTCATGATTGATTAATGAACACCTTGATTGATGAATATCCAATGAATACCTTCAAGTCGACTTCTGAAGATTTAAGACAAAAATAAAAAATACACTGATATTTACATTTTGCTTTAATTTTCTATGGCTTTGCTGCAACTCTAGAAATTGTTCAGCAGAAAATCTTTTGAGACGAATTCCTTGACAAGTGTCCAAGGATAAAAATCATAGTCGGATAGTGAATTTCGACAAAGTTGTATTTTGCTGCAGCCCCAGCGTACATTTTTCGAAAGTGTTTCGTCGACGATAACGAATGAAATTAACGCAAATGTCTCAACATGACAATAAACTAAGATTACTTTGCAGGAAAATGACTTTCCTTAATTAAAAAAAGCAAACTAGTCAAATTCCTCACTCAGATCTGTTCACTAAATAGTCTAATTAGTTCATCTAGGTTCTAGCACATCTTTCAGTTTAATAACCCTTTACCGCCAAATCGGACTTTAGAGTCGCCTTTGAAAAACCACCGGTTTTCTAATAATTTCACGTTTTCTTTCATTTTTTGATAAATTCACACGAACAAAAAAAGTCTTAGCTTTATTTTTTACATATGTGTACCAAGTTTCAAAGTTATCTATCTGTAAATAACCGAAATAAAATTTCCAATTTCCAATGGCAATTTTCAATTTCTTGTGGAAATTTTATTTCGGTTATTTACAAACGGATCACTTTGAAACTTGGTACACATATGAAAAAAGATAAATCTAAGACTTTTTTGTTCGTGTTAATTTTTCGAAATAAATAAATAAAACGTGAAATTCTTAGAAAACAGCCAAAGAGGGGGTACTGTAGAAATCTATCTCCTCCTAGGATTTTCAAGCTTCAACATCGAGACGCATATCATTCGATGCGTAAATCAGCCAATCATTGATGGCCTTTCAAGCAAAATCCACCAATCATAGACATGAAAATAGAGCGTAAGTACTTACGTTCACTTAGCGAGTTTTGAACGTATGGCCCCAGAGGGCTATAGGTGATGAGGGCTGTGACCGCTCGTTGTTACAATATGCGTATGAGGCTCAATGAACCTCTTAGCATCAATTATCTCCTCCTAGGATTTTCAAGCTACAACATCGAGACGCATATCATTCGATGCGTAAGGACCATATCTATCGATTGGTTCTTGTTGTTTTTTCGAAATTCTTATTTTTGTGGGTGGGGTGGGCATTTTTCGGAAAAAATTTATATTTCTCCCCCCACCCATTCGAATTCCCCCCTTTTTCAAAATATTTTCAGAACTATAACAAAATTGACAAAAAAAAGCTACGACCAATTTCTAGATCTTTTATTTGCGAATCGAACGGTATATCTCTCATTACTGTAACTTAAAAACTCTAGGAGGGGATGGGTTTGCAGTGACAATAAGTGTGAATGTTCAGTAGAGCGCGACAAAGTCCCGAGCGCCTCGAAATAGGCATTCAAGGTGGCATGGATACCAGACTAGACGTTACTGGAGCTGAAATTAAGTCAAAGATGGTGGAAACGACTGCATGAACACCATCCCACACGACAGCAGCCGGGTAACTAAAGATCACCGTCTTCAGGTCGTCTATTTATGTGCCCAGCCGGTAATTTTCGCCTATATTAAATGTGAAAGAACTCCCCCACCCCTAACCCTTTCGCGAGTTGTCGTCAAGGCATAAATCAACGTACATAAATGATTTTGATAATTTTGGGACCGTTGAATAGGTCAGTATGTCAGCTTTAAGGTGAGACTAAAAACCGGAAAGTGAAATTTACGATTTTTGTCCCAGAAATTCGGGCGGTAAAGGGAATGCTCTGAAGTTCAGAGCATCAAACTTCCGGACCACTTTTTATTCCGCTTCGAAGAGAAGAAAGTTCCTCAAAACCATCCTTGTAGCCGGAATGAACCTCACTGAATTCGGGCCGATAACCTAACGATCATATAATGCTTTTTAAGCCCTTTTATTTGCAACGTTTTATTAGTATATAGTAAATCGAACAAACAAGGTAAAGAAGACATAAATTATCGGCCGTTTTTTAATGTTTTATTCAGACATTTTAGTCCCACTTTCCGACAGGGCATCACAATGTTCAAGAACAGGAAGTCACTGCATGCTGGATCATTTAATGCTACGAAAATCTCGGCACAATTTCATGCAAAGACTTGCTCTAATTGGTGAGCTCGTCTAAATTTAATTGAAAACTCTGCTTACGACGAATAATTGATATATTATTAAGTAGTTGTTTACCTATAATTGATTTTTGTGGCCTTTTCTCTTAACTCGTGATAATATTTTTCCTCGTTAAAAAAATTCAACTCCTTATTGCACTAACCAAATGGGTATAATTGCATATTAACTAATATTATAATAATAAATAACTGCATGTGATAAGTAACTTGTGTTATTGGCCCGTTTCGATACTACGTTCGTATGGCTCCATAATTATTTTCGGGGTGCGTAGTCCAGTGCACAGTGCAGGCGTAGATTTTTTTCGAGGGTGTCAGGTCAAGGAGCCTCGAGGGGACCTTCGCGTCACCGGAGGTGGCGCTGCAGTCGCTATAGCCGCGGCTGCCGGCCCACGCAGCTCACACTTCGTCACCTGACGCCGTCTAGGCAGGGTCGCCGGTGTCCCGAGATTTCCTCTTTCAACTTGGTCCTGGAAACTATTCGATCAGAAGTTGCTTATTTTTCGCACACTTATGTCTTTAATGTCGTCAACCTTAGTATTCATGTCGCAACTACTGTGCCAATGAATGTTCAATATTCGGCTTCTGATCCTAGGAATGATCTACAGTAAACCTACAAACATTTTCACAGATAATATCTGATGAAATAATTAGAATTTTTTTTAATTTTGCAATATTTGACAGGATGGCATTTCCGATTTTTAGCAGATCTTTTCGAGCACCTTTTGTATTGTTAATTTAATTAGCTTTTGACTCATTTAATAAAAGTATTTTGAACTAAAAACTTGTCAGACGAATAATTAAGTTTTCTCGGTGGTGTAATGGGTAATGGTTTGCTTGCAGATGATCAAGTTGTTAAACTTTTTATAACAAGTATCCTCCTAGGCTGTACAATGATATTTTGAGACATTCCTCGCCTTACATTGCAACACTAATTATTTAGCGACCATTTTCAATTAATTAATTCTTAATTCGAATTTCAATTCGTTGCTGATCTCTAACTCTATATTCACGAGCCAATGCGGATCAAAATACGTAATATCTCCTGATAAGAACTCTACCCGACAAGGAAACTCGCAATTTGCCAGGTAAGCGTTTGCTGGGTTCTTTCCAAGGAAATGTTTTTTTCCTTAATAAATGATGATAATTAATACTCGGTAATACTAAAAAGTGCATCGTGTGCTTATAAATAATTACCGTTAAATCCAATCACTAAAGAAAGAAGTCTATTAAAAGAAAACACATGTTATTTATTTCCGTGCTGTTACACCTTTTCAAACTTCTTCTAACACTCCATTTCTGCATCTTTGTGTTTAATTAAGATTTGAATGAATAAACATTGTTTTGTATTTGTCTGAGAAGCTTTCTTATTTAGCACCTTTAAACTTTTAAAATCGCAGATTTAACTTCACGGAGTATATTTTTTGGAACAGAGAATCAATGTATCAAAAAACGCTTGTGACAAATACGTAATATCTCCTGATAAGAACTCTACCCGACAAGGAAACTCGCAATTTGCCAGGTAAGCCTTTTCAGCATGGGTGGACATGTGAAAGAAGCAAATTATGACATCACTGTGGTCATTCCAAGGAAAATGTTCTTTCCTTGATAAATAATGATAATTAATACACGCTGATACTAAGGAGTGCATCGTGTGCTTGTAAATAATTTCCGTTAAATCCAATCACTAAAAAAAGTCCATTAAAAGAAAAAATATAACTCAGTACTCACTGCAGTGAGTGACAGAGAGCGCAATTTTTCGTCGACGAAAACATGAAGTTTCGGACGGATAGACGGACAGACAGACGGACGGACGGACGGACATGACGAGCACAATAGCGCCTTTTTCCCATAAATGAGAAAATGCGCTAAAAACTTGTTATTTATTTTAGTGCTGCTACTCCTTTTCAAGCTTCTTCTGCTAACACTCCATTTCTGCATCTATGTGCTTTAAATAAGATTTGAATGAATAAATATTGTTTTGTATTTGTCTGAGAAGCTATCTTATTTAGCACCTTTAAAATTTAAAAGTAGCAGATTTAACTTCACGAAGCATATTTTTTGGAACCGAGATTCAATGTATCAAAAAACGCTTGTGACACGACCTTCTTGCTCTACCTGAATCGATTCTACCATTGTTTATATTGTAACAGGCTTACAACCAACGTAACACATCTACCATTGTCTACTTTACTTAACAAAAGCCCAAGTACTGGAATGCCGACAAGCATGCGCGCTGCGTCGCGGAGCAAGGCTGAAAACCTCGCGACCTTTTTAGTGATAAACTTGATAATTTTCACAACTATATACTGGAGAATCATCGACTATTTATCGTGTGCGTTGATGTCCTAATTTGGGTATTGATCATTCATGATTCGATTTTCAGTGCTACCGGGTCATCCATGTCACTCTAATGCACCACTCCGCGCCCATACCACGGAGTGGTACAGCAATCTACTTTCAGCACCTTTTAGATTTCGCGGCACACTAAAAACTCGGATGCGACGATATCAGGACTTCGTCTAAAAAAATGTTCATATTTGTTTTATCTTGATTACGCGGTTATAATTTTTGCGGTATAGAAATATACGAGTATTGTTTTCCATTTAAAAATATCGATTCGATGGTATTCCTAATGTTCGAAAAACGCCTCGGAAAACAATAAAATTGAAAATTGTGTGCTCTTTGTTCAGTAATGTATATTAGACATGTCGTCATCTCCATTGGAAAATCGTCGGCGATTGGCAGGTGCAGGTGCTGTAACTAATTAGAGGTGTGTCATATGGTGTGTGTCATATGGTGTGTGTCATATGGTGTGTGTCATATGGTGTGTGTCGAATGACCTTTTCGCTGTGGCAGAGGTGTGTCAAATAGTGCTTGTACACGGGGAAAGTACTGGCGGCCACTGGCCGGTACAATTTAAATGCTAACTGTGACTTAATTCTCATGCTACTGGCCTCATGTGAAGAGTTACTGGGTCACGCAGTGGGTGCTTCGGTTTTGTCTTAAGCCGAAATCAAGGGTGGTTGTTAGTTAATGAAAATTGTACTGGCTCCAACCAAAACCCAGCGTGCTTTTATCGTAATTTTGAGTTTATTGTTTAATTTTCGACAGTAGCTTGAATTATTAAGGTGGTTTTTCTCCACTTCGAAGATGACAAATTCTACTTCGTGACGCTTGCTGCCGCCACATTGTTGATGCCCGTGCTTGAACATCTTGAAAACACATTCATTGTTGATGCTGTGATACGTGATGCCGTGATACGTGATGAAAACACATAGTACGAATGTGTTTTCATCGTGATTCGTTTTTAATGCCAACATAGGTAGTCAAAATCTATGTATTTATAGTTCGAGAAGTTATCGCGGTTCTACTCGCGGTAATAGTACACGCGGTGCGAAGTCTCATCACGGTCGGCTTCTCAGAGTCAGCCAAGTTATACACGGCGGCCGCGATCTAAAATTAAAGCTTCTGTTCATCGGTCGCCCTTCAGCAGGGTAACATCAGGCAAATCGTGGCAACCTAATGACTTGCAAAACCCGCCAATGAAGAATGCACCTCTCCGCCTAAATACAATAAGCAGCATTCTCATATCGCACACGGCAAAGCCTCTAAAATCGTTAATGTCAGATCTCCCCTCAATGCCGCAGCACTCGGCATATTTTGGAAGCCTTGGTCGTGCTTCAGGCAGGAGTTCCTAACAGCAACATAGATATCAATTACATGCTTGATCTTTAGGTAAATTGCTTATACACTGGGAAAGTATTAGCTAATATTGGTAGCGTCAAGTACTTTTCGCTTCAAAATTAGCAGTAATTTCTTTTGATTTTTACCCAAACTTTATAATTATTTCGTTAAATTGATAATTTTTCTTTCAATTTTTAGCCTGATATTCGAGGAGGAAAATATTTGCCGTCACCACTATCGGCTAATACTTTCCTCGTGTATAAGCACCGGTACGCAGCCACAATAATGCATCCACTCCACTCTCGCACCGCATTTGCGACATAAAAACCCTCCAAAACCATTAAAAACCAAAGTTCGCTTCTTTAACATCTATAAATTCCACAACAATATTAATTCATATTGTTTCCTTATTCATAAACATTTTGATGACAATTAAAGCATTGAAATTTTTTCATTGAAAAAGCCGTCTCCCCATTCTACAATTTCATTAATATTATTCGACATTCGAGGGCGTTTGATGGACTGCAGGCAAGAAGGCTATCAATGGCGCCGCTTATCAGGGCCGCGTGATGCACCGCATCGTCGCTCAAACAATTAACGAATGTTCACGATATTCGGGAACGTTGATGAAACATTTCTACGTCAATACAGGTAATATTCTTGTTCTGCTTCACGACTATATACTGAGCATTTTTATAGCGTAAATGGTGTTAGGTTCTCTTCAACATACATGAAAATCTAAAAAAATCCTTTCTAACGCCCTCAACGTGTGTATGAACTAGTTGATAATTGAAGCTTGGCCATTTCGCTAACCTTAATTCGTTCAAGGAATATTTTAAATCTTGTCGATACATTTATGCAAGGCCATTGATGCTACTTCATCCCTTCACATTTCTTTCTTTTACGGAAGGTAAGCGCGCGAGTAATAATTCTGAACTTACTTTAGAACCAGTTCAGAATATTCATGCCCGTTTCTCTTATATCGGTACAAATTTTTATTTGAATCTCATGTAATTTTTAACCATTTTATTCAAATTTCTTTCTTTTATTATTTAAAAAATATTTTCCCTAGATCACCTGAGTCGAATTGAAGTTTTTTTTTTAGAAATTACTATAATCTTTATTTCTACTGAGCAATTTTATTGGGAGATTGGTTCAGCAGTTCGTGGGTGCAGATATTTCTGCAATACTACATCAGTATTTGCTTCACCTCTCATCTTCATCAGGTAACATGCTTGCCGCAGCGCCGGAATCGACTCTTCCGCTTAATTTCTGTTCTGATGTCCGCTGTCGAAAACTTAATTAAATTCTGTGCGATCAATTTTCCGAAGAAGTTTCTGAAATAAATTTCGAAGGAATTTTCGAACATAAATTTTCTAAAGAAGTTTCGAACGTAAATCGCAAATCTTTCCTACGATTTAATAATAAAAATCACCATCCTAGATTTATTTTACGAGCAAACAATCTAAAACCTATGCATCTGCATAGTAGAACATTTAAATTAGATAAATTATTAAATTTAAATTTGAGCCTGATCCGTTACGATCGTATGATAGAGAAAATAACGACATATTGAAGTACATACGTCAGATTAACATGAAAATAAATTTTCTCGGCTGCTTCTACTATTACGCGGTTCTCTATTTTTAAGCGAGGTTTATTTTTAGCGCATTTTCTCATTTATGAAAAAAATGCACTATTGTGCTCGCCATGTCCGTCCGTCGGTCCGTCCGTCCGTGCATGACTTCGCGTTTTCGTCAACGAGAAAATGCGCGCTCTGTCACTCACTGCAGTGAGTACTGATCAAATTTTTTGTAATTACGCTGTTCTCCAAAACCCATTTGGGTTTTCAGCTGAACAAAATGAATCAGAAGGAACTCTGGACAGTTCTGCATATATAGCACATCCCTCTAATCTATAATTCATTGAATTTATTCAGTTGATATATTATTTATCTTTCTTCACCACCACAACCATTGAACGACGTGTTCCATTATATTGGTTCTAGCTGAACAAAATTGATCAGAAGTAACTCACGACATGCAGTTCTGAAAAACATATCACACTGTTCCGTAATATATTAGATTAATTTAGTTGATCCTTTTAATTATATTTTTTAGTTTAAGATTCCACAATTTACAAGTGCGATCAATTGTCTAGTCAAACCATTCAATTCATTGCAAACTCTCTTTTACTCGAGTAATTATATATATGGCAAACGTTCCTTCTTGGACGCTGAAATACAGAAAAAAAATAAAAAAGGCATTACAATTTTTCAACTTTCCGGAGCTTTGCCAACTGATTTCACGAAATAGCTCGTTCAGCTGGGAATATTATTATCCTCCATCATAACTTTCTATCTTCTAGCATTTCATTTCACGCCTTTATATTGGGCCTCAAA